AGAGAGAGAGAGAGAGAGAGAGAGAGAGAGAGAGAGAGAGAGAGAGAGAGAGAGAGAGAGAGAGAGAGAGAGAGAGACAGCGGACAGTTAATCCTTCCCTTCGCCATCCCCTGGGAAGCAACCAATGATGTTACCGCCTTGTGCTCGGCAGAGAACTTTGGCGATTTAGTGGATGGTCCTGTTCTTGTTTTGGTAGTGCGATGGTGAAGCGGATCCGTGTCCTTGTCATTGTGAAAGACATTGAGTGGTTTTCAAACCTCGTGATCCAATATCTTGGTTTGTGTTTGTTTCGTCGTTTTGCCTGGGGTTCGTTTTTGTGCTTTCATTACAAACGGTTGCAATGCGATTATTGCAGGCCGACAAAATGACGAGACAAAAACTCACAAACAATGAGTTGGGGATGAAAGATTAAACGAAGTCATATCATCACATACTGTTTGCAAATTTTGAAAAACAGGACAAATCTCATAAGAAGATACCCACCCCACTTCCTCGGTTGACGTCGTTTCCATCCCGACAAAAAATGAACAACCGCAATGAAAAAATAAAGGTAATCAACCGAAAACAAGAGGTGCGATAAGAAAAGAAGAGGATAGAGTCCATAGAAACTGAAATGACCATTCGGCTTTCATCATCGGACTGCAAAAACAAACCCCTGGAAACGAACTCCACCCCCTCCACGGCCCCTCCCCCCTCCCCCCCCCCGAATGACTACAATGATGGCCGAACCTCCGCACTACAATTAGACGGCGGGATCGATCCCTGCGGTCATCGTTGTTAACTTGAAAGGGGGCAGAGGGAAATCCCCGACCCACAAAACATCAACGAACCTTCACCCGTCCACAACCCTGATCATCCGGATGCAATTCCCTATCGCATTTGCACAGAGCATCGCAGAGTGAGGGCAGCCTCTGTGGCGGTCGCCTGGGAGACTGGCTGCGGCAAATCTTGCAAACCAAGGTCTATGGGGACGGTGTTCCCTTCACGGTCGCGTTCAAGCAACAAACGCTCATCAAACACAACCTCAACCTCCAGCAGCAGATTGTGGATGATACACACGACAGTGAATTGGTGCGGGAGGTTATTCATATTTGTCTTGTGATGACGATGGAATAACCTCCACATCCCCTTGAGCCGTTCGAATGCTCTTTCCACGACCCCCCTCGTTGTCTTCTGTCGCGTGTTGAAAAGAGCGATGTCCCCTATCTGGTCCGACCCTCCATATGGAACCACAATCCACGTGCGCGGGGCGTAATCGTTGTCCCCCAACAGGTACCCTGTTGTCCTCACCCCCCCAGGGAGGACGACGGGGTCCGCGTTGAAGATGTCGCCCGCCTTTGCTCGCCTGAGCAGTGAAGAGTTCCGCAGCACACGTTAATCGTGGACGCATCCAGGATAACTGACGAAGACGTCGATGATACGCATGTCAAGGTCGACGACGACCTGCGCCACTACTGAGAACTGTTGCTTACGATCGAAGTAGTTTTCGGACGGCGCGTTTGCAGGCTTGTCCACATAAATATGGGTGCAGTCGATGGCGCCGAAACAATTAGGGAAACCTTTACCGCTGAATGCTTTGACAACCTGCAGGAGACGACGACCGGTAGGAAATGCTATCTTGTCCGGATACGCAGCCAGTATGGCATTTGTCACATCTTCCACAGCCTTGATGACTGATGACCTCCCAATGCCGAACGACGACGTGCCGCTGTCGAAAGTCTCTCCGGATGCCCACCGGTACAACGCGTAAGCCACGATATGGTCGGGGTGCAATGGCTCCCGATAGTGAGTCAGTCTGTGCTGAATGAAAGGACTGCATGTGGCAACGATGTCGTTGAACACCGTCCTCGCCATCCGCAGTTTGTCATGGAAGTACTCCTCGCTCGCGTCGTCGACGATGGTGACATTAGTGAGGTCCCTCCATGTTCCGCCCGTCCTTCTTTTCACCCACCAGCTTGGCGTCTCCCTCGGCATCACACCCGCCACGATTGCATTCGACAACAAGAATGGCGCATCCCATAGGCCTGGCGAGGAGTGCATGTCCATCAGAGTCTGGGCTATGGCGGCCTCCAGTCTGTCCGTGTGTCTTCCGCTGGCCCGCCGCAGGTCGTTCACTATCTGCATGTGACGGGAAACTTTAAGCAACGCCGTCTCGAACAACGACCTCTCCCTTGCCGTCAGCCTCCGCGCCCCAGGTGCATCAGCGATGTTGTCTTCCATCTCGTCTACCGAACTGCAAACACGCGCGCAGCTCACTCGCCGGCTTGCAGGCTATGGCGACCTTCTTCCAAATGCGCAGGAAGCACGGATATTTCCAGCACGCACTGTCCACATACGCACGACAGAATTCAAATTCAAAATTTGGCCATCGCGCGCACTTAATATCGTGGGACGCCACCTACGCGCCCTTGGTAGGCTGCTTGGCCAAACGGGTCGGGCCCGGAAATTGCATGTCCCACGGGCCCGCAGCTGCTGGACAACTTCTTGTCTGTCGTACTGCCTTCACGGACGTCCCTGCCCGACAGGGCGACCTTCTGACACCCGGCCCTCCTCACCTAAGATGTAAGGGCGGGTAAGTGTAGGGTCTTCCTTACGGGTTGTGGAACGAAAAACGAAGTTACGGTAAATTAATCACCCTCGTCCGGTAAGGGTGCCCTTACAATATAAGGATTCATAAGTGGTGTGGAACGAGGCCCATATTCGCACTAGTGTTGTAGTACCCTGCATTGGGCTGCGATCATAGCAAAGGGTGTGCTTTTATTGTTTGTTCTCTCGTTTTTTTTTTTTTTTTTTTTTTTTTTCCTTTTTTTCTCCATTGGCATTTTGGCATAAGCCAACAACCACTTCAAATTCGTGGTACACCCACGCACTGCTGACATACAGACCTGAGTTCGATCCCCGAGGGAATCGAACCAATTCTTTGGATAATTTCTCAATTTAGGCATGTCGTCTTTGTGCACGGGCCACGTCCATCCGCGCTGTCGACTTTGTCCGCACGATCTGGATGATTGTGCGGTCGAAATTGACCACGCCATGCTACTAAACAGGCTGCTCCAAAAGGGATTAACCCAGTGGACGAATTCAGATTCGATCCCAAAGTCTATGAGGTAGAAGTTTGATGCGGTACCTACTAGGTTAGCTCCTATCACGAGAGATAAACAGGCAGCATCTCCATTTAATGTGATGCAGCCCAATAGCCGCCTATGTCCAGGGTTAGGCAAGCCCGTCTGCCTCACCCACTTAGAGGGTCACTCACCTGCTATTTGCCTATCGGGTGCTAAGCCTAATAGGCTCAACTGCCACATTCTTAATGCCGCGAACATGACATCTGACCCCAAAAGGGCCTGTTCCCGAGGTGAAAAATAAGTCAATCAAATTTAGTAACCTGAAAGTTCATGCCACGGCCAGGTGAGCTTCGTGGCCGCCCCTTTTTGACATTTTAGGCCCCGGATCGTGCGGCGCAATAGCCGTGCGACCCCATTCAAATAGGATAGGTTGAGATTTAGTACTTCAATGCTCACACGTCTCTTCGGCGTTGCCGATCGTGGTAAGCGGTCGGTCGCACCGCCAGTTCTTACCGTTTTTCCCCAGTTATTCCCGATGCCCCTCTTAGGTTCAACAGTTTAGTCTCGCGGTCATAAACTTGGTTCAAATGACTTTTAGCAGATGCGCAACTCATCAAA